CGTGGCCGCGTACGTCACTGCCCCCCCTTCCCCTCCCGCCATGGCGCTGAGTGCTGCGCCCCTTAGCCGGGCCCCAGCGGGGGAGCAAGTTGCGGTAAGTGGCCACTTGCCACCGCTTGCTCCCACTCTGGGGCCCAGCTGAGCGGCGCAGAGCACCACGATGGAAGGGGAAGGGGGGGAGGGTGCTGACATACACGGCCAGCGGGCATGGCCATGTACGTCAGCATTATAGACTCACAGACACTGGGCTACTAGATATAGGATTATCCTCCAGTGCTTCCTGGGGTTTTAAATTGAGGTAGCACATGCACATTAGGGGAGACTTCCTGGTACTAATTTTGAGGTTTCCCTGTAGTGTAGAGGTGCTATTTTGAAATTAGATATTTTGGAATATATCTCCCGGAATAGTTTATTTTGAAAGAGTGCAGTCTAGATGTACCCTAGCTGATTACAATGCAACTAAAATGCTTTAAAAGAGTACTATAAATCATGTGACAGACATCTGTCACAAGATTATATTAGTATGTCAAAGCAATCTCTGTACAGTGTACTTTAGTGCCATAATGATGGAATAGGTTTACTCTAATCACTGACAAAAAATTAGTTCTCTTGTACAACAGATCTTTGAAAGACTTATAAAATTAGCTAACATACATGAAATAGCAATCATGTTACAATGGAAATGTCTTTGTATTTAAATACATAAATATGGTGCTTCTCAAATGTACTAGTGATAACAGCTCTGGTGAATAAAGACCTTTAATTGTTTAATAGTGATAGAAATGTAGCTGTGTTAGTCTGGTGTAGCTGAAACAAAAAACAGGACTATGTAGCACTTTAAAGACTAACAAGATGGTTTATTAGGTGATGAGCTTTCGTGGGTCAGACCCACTTCCTCAGATCAAATAGTGGAAGAAAATTGTCACAACCATATATACCAAAGGATACAATTAGAAAAATGAACACATATGAAAAGGACAAATCAAATTTCAGAACAGAAGGGAGATGGGCGGAGGGGAGAAAGGTAAACGTCTGTGAGCTAATGATATTAGAGGTGATAATTGGGGAAGCTATCTTTGTAATGGGTAAGATAATTGATGTCTTTGTTTAAGCTTAGGATTCTCTTTCAAGTGTAGTCTGAAAAGGTCTTTGAAGCAGGATGCAGGTAATCAAGTCGTTGAGACAATGTCCTTTCTGGATGAAATGGCAAGAAACTGTTTTTTCTTTGTGATTTTGTCTAATATCTGTTTTGTGGGCATTGATTCTTTGGCAAAGTGTCTCAGACGTTTGTCCAATGTACATAGCAGACGGACACTTTCGGCACATGATAGCATAAATCATATTTCTGGATGCGCAGGAATATGTGTTCTTGATCTTATAACTCACTTGGTTAGGTCCAATAATGGTATCAGCAGAGTGAATATGTGGACAAAGCTGGCAACGGGGTTTGTTGCAAGGGAAGGTACCAGGGTTGGCATTAGTGTGGTATGTCCTGTGGTTGTTGGTAAGAATCATCTTGAGGTTAGGTGGTTGTCTGTAGGAGACTATGAGTCTGTCTCCCAGAGACTCTTGGAATTTCGTATCCTGTTCAAGTATAGGCTGTAGTTTTTTGGTAATGTGTTGGACAGGTTTAAGTTGGGGGCTGTAGAACAAGTGGTGTTCTATTGTTGGTTTACTTGGGTCTGTCTTGAAGTAGATGGTTTCTAGGTATTCGTCTGGCTCTTTCAATTTGCTTTTTTATTTCTCTGGGTGGGTAGTTGAGATTTATAAATGCTTGGTAGAGATCCTGAAGCTTCTGGTCTCTGTCAGTGGGGTTAGAGCGAAGGGCTTGGCTATAGATGATGGATCGTATGGTGTGTTCTGGATGGGAGCTGGAGGCATGTAGGTAACTGTATTAGTCAGTGGGTTTTCTGTAGAGAGTGGTGTCTAATTTTCCATTGCTGATTTGTACTGTGGTGTCCAGAAAATGGATCTCTCAAGTAGAATGGTCCAGGCTGAGATTGATGGTGGGGTGTAGGTTGTTAAAATCTCTGTGGAATGTCTCCAGTGTTTCTTGGCCATGCATCCAGATCATAAAGATGTCATCGATGTAGCGTAAGTAGAGAAGGGGTAAAAGGGGACGGGAGTTGAGGAAACGTTGTTCTAAGTCAGCCATAAGCGTACTGTGGGACCATGCGCGTGCCCATGGCTGTGCCGCTGATCTGGAGGTATAAGTTGTTCTAAAACTGGAAATAATTGTGGGTAAGAACAAAGTTACATAGGTCTGCTGTCAGACTGGCAGTGGTGTCCTCTGGGAAAGTGTTTCTAATTGCTTGTAATCCGTCTTCATGTGGGATGTTGGTGTATAGAGCTTCTACGTCCATGGTGGCAAGGATGGTGTTATTGGGTTTATCTTTAATTGTTTAAGAGATTTTCATAACATGAGTAGCAACACACAGCTCTTAGTTAAAATGGCTCTGCACTACTCTGGCAAGACAATTTGTAAGCAGGGGCACTAGAGCAAATTTTTACAGTGGGAGTTAAGTCTCTTTGTAAGAGGTTCTATTGCAAAACTTGTGTCTAGTTACCACAATTGTCCAGCTATTCAGTTTCTACCTGTGTAATTAATTTTGAAATACTCATTTAGAAATGAACCTCTTAATGGAATCTTTTTAATGTACTGCATATACTTTGAACAAGCTATTTTAAAGATCTTGCAAGTCTGTTAATTAACTCATCAAAAACTGCAATGATATTAGACTTGATAACTTGGTTACAATGAAAATCCTCTCTAAAAAGACTGAGAAAAATGTATGCATCACTGCCTAAGGGTTGTTGCTATTCTGACTGTTGCATCACCCGGTCTCAATTAATTCATGCTGAACTTTTTGCTTCCATCGTCTTATCATCAGATTTTATAATCTGAATATAATGTGCTATATGCATTTCTTGTCTTTATGTATTTTATCTTTACTAAAATGTTAAGACACATTTTTTGCAACTTATACTAGACTTGCTATAAATTTCACAAAATGACATGATCTTTAAAAATGCCTGAAATACTCAAATTATTATTTTTAAATGGCCAAATAATTTCTTGCAACTGTACTTCAAATCATTCTGAAATAGTTGCATAGTTCAGCCAGAAATCTAGGAGGTACTTAAATAACTAGAAAATGCTGATGAATACACATTGATACACATCAAAGAATACTCATTATCCATGCTGGGTCAACTAAAATGTGTCCAGGGTACAGAAGATTACAAAAGTAACTGGCTCCCCACATAATGGCCCATTTCTCCTCTCTCATCCCACAGTAACTATTTCACAATGTGAGCACCAGAGAAATGCTTAGCTTCAATCAACCATTGTGTCAAAGGATAAATTGTTCTCTAAAAAGCTACCTCTATGCTTAAAGAAAACATAGTATGTGAAGAAAAACAGTTTGCCAGTTCAACAAAGTCTTTACTACTATTATAAGACATAGCTGTTGTTAATCCTGATGGTATATGGTATGTATTGGCCCATTATCTATTTTGTTTTGAGTACCCTGAAAATAACATTAGAATAGAACAAAGATTCACAATGTATGTAACTTGTCCCATCACTTTCTCACAAAAGTGACTCATTTGAAAGTATTATCAATGAAAACCTGAATCATAACTTAATCTGGTGACAAACATTACCAAAGTTTTTCCTCTTTTAATATGCTAATAATTATTTATAAATAAATAGTACCCAACAACAAGACTTTTGTTGTAAAATACTCTAACTACACAACACAATCGCATGTACACTAACAAGCATACAATTAGCATTAAGTCATTAAAAAAAACAGTCTTGAAGGGATTAATGAGCGATAGTAAAAATGAACGGAGCTGGGGAAGATATCTCCTACCAGCCCCAACCCTGCCTTTTTCTCTCTCCATAATGCCGTGGAAGACAGTCCCATGCAATCAGTTATTTGATGGGTTTTATACCACATTATGCTTTACTTCACATGTACAATGGAAAGTGGCATATGACCCTCTGTCTTCAGATTCTTGTGACTATCTGGGGTAAAAATACATCCCAGACTAGATTTTGCAATTTTTCCCATTATCCCCTAGAAAATGAGTTTAGCGGTCCAGATTTTAATAGAGTCTGAAGGCATATAGAAAGAAGAGTATAGTCCAAAAATGGAGATATTTCTAATAGCAGAAGAGGTACACAGAATTTCAAGTTACTGCATTCCTGTTAAAAGCCAAATGATTTTCAAGGAGAAGATCACTGTAGCAGATAGAAGAAACCAAAATTCACTCTGCTTTGGATTGATCAGCTTTGAATTTGTACAGCTTTGAATGACAGGCTATCATAGCTCTCACTGTAAAATAATTGGTGAAATTGATAAAATCAACAAGGAAGTGTCGGAAGAAATATCTCTTTACAATTCTTTTCGACAGTGGTCTGTTGGAATACTCCATACACACAGAGAAGGCTATTTTGTGCCTACTATTTATTCAACAGGGTGTTGAGTTACAGCAGCCTCAGATTTTCTGCTGAGGTTTCTCCAACAGCAGTAGCTATTATAGCTAAAAGCTTTCAGATTATGCTTAACGACAACAAAAGACAGAGTGCAAGGAACATTTTGCCATGTTCAGTCCCATTAGTCCCATCCCAGAGGCCAGCAACAACTGGAGTTAATGTTCCACTCTACTTTTTGTTGAGACTGTTCATGGCTAATCCCAGCAATTATCCCAAAAGGACAAGAAACAATGGAAAGACCCTCCTTACCAACCATGAAACTTTTAGTTATTACTAACTATTTTGGGGTGACCAAATGCAATCTGGTTCTTCATTATAGAAGTTACTACTATTTTGGAGGGACTCTTGTAATATCAATTTTATCTTTTACAAAAAAATCAGTTGATCTCAAAACAATGATTCAAACTAATACTACAGTATTTACTGACAGAGTTTACAAAGCCAACTCCCAAAAAACATGATACATGTCTAATTATATTCTCCATTATCACATTACCTTGCTTGGCAACAGAGCAGTAACATCTCTCTGTTATTAATTAAAATCTGTAACAGGACCAAAAAGGCTTTTGCTCGAATGGAAGTTGATGGACTTTCAAATAAACGGATAATTGTAGTCACAAAATCCTGGGTGGGAATAAAAACAAACACACAATACTGTTTCTTGAAAAACAAAGAGGATAAATAACATTGTCCATTAGCATATACGCCCTTTAAATCATTCTGGCACAAAAGCTATCCAAATTATGTTTAGATTCAATGTTAGTTAAATCCTTTTCATAGCATTTGATTTACAGTCCAAAATCCCACATGATGTTGTTGAATAAAGAAGTTTCATCCTATACAGATAGACAGACTGAGAGCTGGTATGCCCAGCTTTCCAAGGGCCAAGGTTAACTGACATTTTCTACTGTTAAAAGCTAAAGAATACCACTAAAGACCACCCCCATCCCCGACCAGGAGTTTTCTATCTGCTACCCAAGATACACAAACCTGGAAATCCCAGATGACCCATCATCTCAAACATTGGCACACTTACAAGAGGATTATTTGGCTATATTGACTTTCTCCTCAGACCCTACACTACCAGCACTCCTATATCTTTGTGACACTGCCAACTTCCTGAGGAAACGACAAAACATCAGTAATCTTCCTGAAAATACCATTCTGGCCACCAGGGACGTAGAAGACCTTTACACCAACATTCCACATGAAGATAGATTACAGGCCATCAGGAGCACTATCCCCAATGACAGCACTGCACACCTGATTACAGAGCTCTGCGACTTTGTCCTCACCCACAACTAATTCTAATTCGGAGACAAATTGTATCTTCAAGTCAGCGGCACAGCCATGGGCACCCGCATGGCACCAAAATGCACCAACATCTTTATGGTTGACCTTGAACAATGTTTCCTCAGCTCTCACTCCTAACACCTCTACTTTAGTTACACTACATTGATGACATCTTCATCATATGGACCCACAGGAAAGAGACCCTTGAAAAGTTTCACAGGGATTTCATCAACTTCCACACCACCATCAATCTCAGCCTGGATCAGTCCACTTGAGAGATCCACTTCCTTGATGCTACAGTACAATTAAATGATGGACAAGTTTCTACCACCCTATACTGGAAACCTACCAACTGCTACACTTACCTTCATCCCTCTAGCTTCTATCCCAGACACATATCTCAATCTATTGTATACAGCCAAGCCCTAAGATACAACCTGAACTGCTCCAATCCCACAGACAGAGACAAACAACTACAGGATCTATATAGAGCATTCTTAAAACTGAAATACCCACCCGAAGAAGTGAAAAAACAGATAGAGCCAAAAGAGTACCCAGACATGAACTACTTTCAAGGTAGGCCCAAAAGAGAAAACAAAAGAATTGCACTTGTCATCACCTAGGCTGTGTCTAGACTACATGCCTCTGTCGGCAGAGGCATGTAGATTAGACAGATCAGCAAAGGCAAATGAAGCCGGGATTTAAATGATCGCGGCTTCATTTACATTTACATGGCTGCCGCGCTGAGCCTACAAACAGCTAATCAGCTGTTTATCGGCTCGCGCGCTAGTCTGGACGTTCCCCCTGTCGACATCAAAGCCCTTTGTCGGCAGCCCCGTTATTCCTCGTGGAATGAGGTTTACCGTACTGTTGTATTTTAGGGCTTGACTGTATACAATAGATTGGGAAATGTGTCTAGGATGGAAGCTAGATGCGTGAAGGTAAGTGTAGAGGTTGGTAGGTTTCCGGTATAGGGTGGTAGAAATTTGTCCATGGTTTAATAGTACTGTAGTGTCAAGGAAGTGGATCTCTCTTGAGGACTGATGCAGTCTGAGGCTAATGGTGAGGTGGAAGTTGTTGAAATCCCTGTGAAATTTTTCAAAGGTTTCTTTCCCGTGGCTCCATATGATGAAGATGTCATTGATGTAGCATAAGTAGAGTAGGGATCTTAGGGGGTGAGAGCTGAGGAAACATTGTTCAAGATCAGCCATAAAGACGTTGGCATATTGTACCCCTATAGTCTACAACTTAAACCCCTCCAATGCATTATCAACAATCTACAAGCTATCCTGGAAAATGACCCCTTACTCTCAGAGCCTTGGGGGAAAGGCCAATTCTTGCCTTCAGACAACCCCCTAACCTCAAACAAATTTTTTCGGTAACCACTCAACACACCTCCATCATAATCATCCAGGAACCCAACCCTGCAATCATGACTGGTGCCAACTCGGCCCATGCATCTACACTAGCAATTTTATCACTGGACCCAACCACATCAGCCACCAAATCATAGGCTCATTTAACTGCACATTCACTAATGTGATCTGTGCCATCAAATGCCAACAATGCTCCACTGCCATGTATATTGGCCAAACCAGACAGTCGCTACAGGAAAGAATTAATTGACACAATCAGATATCCAAAAAGGCAATACACAAAAAAACCTGTTGGAGAACACTTTAATTTGCCTGGACACTCATTAATGGATCTCCAAGTCACCATATTGCTTCAAGCCAATTCCATAAGCCAAATACACAGGGAAGGATTGGAACTTAACAAGTTTAATTCTTATGCAAATGGTATGGACAGGGACATCTGCTGGCTCGTACGCTACATACCACATCCTGTGACTTAACGAACCAACCAAACAATGGAGGTGCTAATTGTTCTTATCAGCCTCTTGTAACTATTTGACCCATCTAGTCTCTCTCTCTCTCTCTCTCTCTCTCTCTCTTTTTCTTTCCCTCTCCTTTCCCCCCCTCTCCTCTTAATACTCCAGTCATCTGAAGAAGTGGGTTGCGCCCACAAAAGCTCATGATACCATCTACATGTTTTGTAAGCCTTTAAGATGCTACTAGTCTATTTATTGTTTTTTAAGTTTTTCGTATTTTCTAATGTGTTGGACCCAAAATGAGATATACCAGGTTATTTAAAAACACCACAGAAGCCAACCAAAAACAAAAAACACCCCAAAACAAAGAATATTTTAAACACTAAAGTTCTTTTAAAAGAAAAGTTATAATTTTTAAAATTGCAAAAAAAATATTTGCCTTTCCTCCTAAATACTACTAACTGTAGTAAATTACATTAGGGATGTTGGTTAATTGCAGTTAAATCATGCAAATAATTCTAAAAAATTAATCATGATTAATCATGCTGTTAAATAATGGAATACCAACTGAAGTTGAAGAAGGGATAGCTCAGTGGTTTGAGCATTGGCCTGCTTAAACCCAGGGTTGTGAGTTCAATCCTTGAGGGGGCCATTTAGGGATTTGGGGCAAAATCTGACAGCGATGGTACTTGGTCCTGCCATGAGGGCAAGGGACTGGACTCAATGAACTCTCAAGGTCCCTTCCAGATCTATGATATATCTCCATATATCATAAATATTTGTGGCCGATTTTCTGTAGTTTCAATATTCATTTCTCACTTTACACTATATTATTATTTTATTTCAAATATATGTAAAGTGATACAAATTGTATTTTTCAATTCACTTCCTACAAGTACTTCAGTGCAATTTCTGTTGTGAAAGACATGTTTGTGATTTTTTTTTGGTTACATAACTACACTCAAAACTAAATGTAAAACTTTAGTGCTAACAAGGGTACTCAGTCCTTGTTAACATAAAGGGGAAGATACTGTTGCCTGCTTATTTACAGTTTCATCAGAAAGTAAGAACAGGCGTTCCCCTGACACTTTTGTAGCTGGTGCTATAAGGTCTTTACTGCCAGATATACTGATCATTCATATGCCTCTTCATGCTTCAGTCACCATTCCTGGAAGATATGCTTCCATGCTGCTGATGTTCATTAAAAAAAATGCATTCATTAAAGTTCTGACTGAACTCCTTAGGTGAGTACTCTGTCTCCTGCTCTGTTTTACTCTCATTCTGCCATTTATTTCATGTTATAGCAGTCTATGATGATGACCCAACACATGTTGGTTTTATGAATGCTTTCACAGATTTGACAAAATGCAAATGATTATGTAGTGTTATTTTGACAGATAAAATATGCAAAATTTTGAAGATTTTTAAAATATTGTTTGCAGAATATTTAAGAGCAGAATCCCTCCAAGAGTAAAAGGCAGCCTCTATAAATCTTCAATAATTTAAAAACTCAAGGCTGTAGAGCTTCTGACAGTTACATTCTTCCTTCCCAGTCTACAGAGAACAGTGCCATACAATATTTTTGAGCCAATCTTTATAGAAAATGCCAATGATTTATTAACTGATAGTGCCAGATCTAAAGCTCTCTCTCTCAATTTTTAATCAGCAGATTTGGAACTAAAATTGTGGGACGCTTATGAGGTAGAAGCTGAGTGGATACAGCCTCATAAATGAGAAACCTTCAAATAACATCAACTTTTGCCTCTGGTCAAGGACAGAGCATGTCACAGACATTTAGCTGCAAACAAGGTGTCTGCAGACAATTTTGTTTTCAGGTAGATCTAATGACCCAAACTACATCAATACTAGTTGATGACAATATCATTCTTAAAAGTGAAATAAAACTACTAAATATAATCTAAGAAACTAAACCCTTGGAACCACTGTGGCAGATGTTACTAATTATACTTGGACACAAAGGTTGGAGATAAATCAATGATTGACACCCCATCAGAGCTGTTGAAACACAGTCAATTAAGGTACCATTTGGTTATTGTCTGTGTAAAAGAACAGAGAACACAATGAGAAAAAACAAGGAATCCTAGATGCACAAACTGGTGTTACTTATTCTATATTTTTCTATATTATTCTATATTTTTTCTGCTACAATTCTATAATTTATCTTATACAGTGCTTCACAACCATGCACAACATATTTACTGTTTTAAATGGTTCAATGGTGAGTAAAGCATAAATCACAGTTCCTTCAGAAGGTATTTGCATGGGAATTTTCATAAAGATTTTTTTTTCAAATATGTAGCTTATGGACTAAGATGATAGGTCTTCTTTATATGGACAGTCAAGGATGACATGCCTGAAATTAAGTGTACCTTTAAAAATATTCTATCTTTTTAAAAACTATATTTTTGTTTCTTTTTAAAATAAAGGAATCAAATTAAGAAAACATTAATATCTATGTTAAATGACCCTTTGGCCACAAATACTGTATACTTCATCGGTAAAGTAAAGTATTTAAAAACACCTGTGTTGTCTCAGATGTATACACTGGGGCGTGGAGGGGAACCCTGCACCATGGAGTCAAAGTCCAGGTCAACTGGTTCAAAATCGCATTAAGAGGCTAAAATTAGTACTGTATATGTTCCCTCTTGGACTCGTACCCCCACTTCCCACATCAGGTTTTAGAGCCCGAGCTCCAACCTGGAGGGTAATGGTCTTCAGTAGGGATGTTAGATATAGGGTAACTGAATAGTTGTGTAACCATACAAAATATTATCAGTTACACAACTATTCAACAGTCCCCAAGGGCAGGGTTAGCAGACAGTGTGCTCCTGGCTCCTGCTTCCCTCCCACTTGCTCCCTCTGATACAGAGGCAGCCACAGGGTGGTGGGATGTGAGTATTCAACAAGATTAATCGATAAGTGTAGGCTCATCAGTTAATCATATAGTTGACTACTTGTTTACATCTCTAATCTTGAGTATGACCATTTAAACGATTTTGAAATAACCACACTACCCTAGGCACAACACAACTGCACTGTCTCTCCCTTCCCTCCAACGTGTAACTGTTTTCCAACAGCTATAAATGTATCCATTAGTGATCATTTGGTATCCAGATCCCAGACCTCTCTGTATCTAGCAACTGATATCTCACCACTGAAGTGGTAGTGGATGAGCAGGAGGTCTGTCTATCCTAAGACAGGCATCAACTCAGCGGCACAAGAGGATGAGCCCTGACAGGCTACAATGGCATTTCATATGTGTAATGAGGGGTGACAAGTTGTTGGCCAGATAGTGTCAGTGTTGCTACACTTACATATGAGGTCTAAACAAAGGAAACATTGCTCTCAAACTTCAGTGATGACAGGTCTCTGCTCAACATAGTTGGAAAGATATGTCTCAGAGATGGTGATGAGGAATAAACCTCTTTCATAGGCAGAACTATCTGTTAGGGTGATATAGCTCAGTGCAGAATATGGCCCTGAAATTATATTATTCATATCAGCACTGACATTGCTGGGGATATTTCCATTACAGGTAGAGCTACTGCAGCTCACTGGGCTTCTCTCTGGTCAAGTTTAGAGCTATACATACCTTGACCAGTTTGTATCCCAACATTCTTCTGTGTCCCCCCAATCTCCTTCCCTAGTACTTGCGGCAGGTTCTTTCAGCACACCCTGCTTTAACTTCTGAGTCGTCAGCATAAACATCAGGGCTGTTGATGGCTTTGTTATCAAGATCTCTACCAGTGCAGATACTGACATGATGCCAGTAAGAGAGTCAGTCTATGGTTTTGCAGAAATACCTGCCTGTTGGATGGAGCACTAGAAGATACAGTCTTAACCACTAAATAGGTCTTGGAACTCAGCTCTTCTGGATGTGATGACATTCTCATAGATTACTCTCCCCTCCCTTGATTTGTGGATTCTTACAGCAAAGGAAAGACAAACCAAACACCTGCTTCAGATGGGACTCTATGAAGCAGAACAAGCATCTGCTGTACCAGTATTCCAACAGATTTAGCTCATTGCAAGACAGAAACCTTGAAGCTTTCAAGTTTTGAGCCACTCCAGGACTCTGTACGGGAATGTCTGCAAGCAGCTTTCAGTTAAACAACAGACAAGGCTAGTAAAAATAGTGTGTGTGTGTGTGTGTGTGTGTGTGTGTGTGTGTGAGAGAGAGAGAGAGAGAGAGAGAGAGAGAGAGAGAGAGAGAGAGAGAGAGAGAGAGAGAGAGAGAGAGAGAGAGAGAGAGAGAGAGAGAGATATAGAGAGAGAGAGAGAGAGAGAGAGAGAGAGAGAGAGAGAGAGAGAGATCTAAAAAAGTTCTGAGGGTTTGGAGAAGTTTAAGAAATCTAACTAAAGCTAAATCCTAGTGGGTCAGATATCTGCTAAGCTCCATCTCTGCCATGGATGATAAAAAGGAACTGATGGAGGTTTGCAACACCTACTCTTTCTGACTTCATATGGGAACATACAGCACAGAGGCATATTTTAAGAAAAAAGAAATAGCTTTGAAAAGGGAGCAGCTTCAGGGTGTTGGGAAAGATGACTAGGAGCCAAGGGTCAAGGAGAGTATAAAAAAAAAAAAATCACATGAAACAAAATTAAAAGTCTCAAACAATTTTTGATACACAGATGCAGTATTAATTTACAATATTTTCTACAAAAGAACCATGAAAACCTACATTTGTATTTTTTTTCTTACTGATATGGAAATATTTGTTGACTAGAAGTAAAGGTGAAATCTTTTTGTTGTATACCATGAAGAATGATTGTGTGATCAAAATAAATAGCTTTTAATCACATTCTAGAAGTTAAATTGCAGACATTTATCAGAACCAGTGACACTGTTAAAAAATGGCCTTAAATTAATAAAATGATTATTTCAGCAAGACATTTTCCTTACAATTTAAATTGGCCTAAGGTCCTATAAGGATAGCATAATCCAAGTACAATTTTAGCTTCAATCACTACATATTCTCTCTTTTAAATGTCTAATGGTACTATGTCAAAGTAGCTGTCGTCATGCATTTCTCATTGTTTTTTCCTTAGGGCCATTATCAGTTGATGGCCACACTAGAGCCTTCTGAATTTACTGAATTTTAGCTGAAGCAGCAACTCAAATACAAATCAGTCTCACCTCTTAAGACTTGCAAAAAAAAAATCCTGTCAAATTCTGTATCTCATTATTTTACATTTTGTTTTGTTTTAATTATATACTCCATTGTATGGAAAGCAGGTAGTAATTTTCTTTAAGTATATAATCCCAAAAGACACTAGTCTGTCTACTCCAGTGGTTTTTTCTATTAAAGCTAATGACCAAAAATGCAGACAATGGAGAGTGTGACTGCTACAGATCCGAAGACATGTAGAAAGTTATCACTGATAAAGCAAGCAACAAGTACCACCATATTTTAGCAAAAGGAGACCTGAATTCCTCAGCTTACAAAATGGTGACTGATCAACCAAATGTAGACTGTGAACTCCTCAAAAAAGATGCATGTCCTGAGTCTACATACAAATGTTATAACAACAACAAATTGATAAAAATGGAAAGCAGTCATTATCTAAAAATCTATACAGAAGGAATGGCAAACTCCAGACATACTTAAAAGAGCACACAAGCAGATGCTTTGTAAAGTGAAGAAAAACAAGGAAATACTTGTACAGCTCTCTTAAGCAGACGCAGACGTTCCAGCTATGATAAGTGTAAGTCACCCTACCAACAGAATGGGATTTGTTCCCTAAAGACCAAATAGGGATGAAAGATTCCATTATGGAAATCTTTGTCCAATTTAAAGCTTTAGCTTTGTCCAGGCCCTTTAACTTATCTCTTTTTTTAATTTAAGTTGGTAGCTCAACTGTGTTTGGGGATACAGTTTCAACAAAAGATCATATAAAAATAAAAATGCAAAATAAAAATACACAAGCATTGCAATATTTACAATTATCTTAGGATACATAGTTTCAAACACAATAATTATTTCAAAGTGTAAAATGAACACTTGCAAGGACCAGCAGAGAATTTGTTGCCACCACACCCTTCCTCCCCCACAACTCATCTCTACTTCCCATGTTCCACATTGCACAACTGGTTAACCACTACATGTGGAAGGCATGTCATATTTCTCTGAAGCATCAGATATTACACTGAGAGAACTTCAAATTTGATTGAACAGTAAACTGCTCCAGTACAAAAATCTCATTTTCTATGTCAATTTTTTTAAACTTTTTGGGTAATATAGCAATGCGTTTCAATAACTTGAGCTGCTGTTGACCTCCACTACAAAACAAGGTGAATATTATGGAAGAACAAAACAAAAGGTTGATAAAAGGTCATATGACCTACAATATTTGAAGGATCAGGAAAAGATTTTAGTACACAGAAATGGCATGGGCAAAGCAGAAGCACAAAATCAAGAATAATACTATAATTCAAACCTTTTCTTGAATCAGTCTCTGAAGATGAACTCCACATGACAACATAGAAGCAAACATGGTCAGCATGTACTGTTGAACTTTGCATATTCCAGTTGCCAATGAGTTTACAACAGCCATTAACCCGACCTTTTCAATAACACTCTGAAAAGCACTGGGTGAGTGACGAGTAATTCTGCATAAAGCCTATACAAATAGGAAAAAATTCCCATTAAGTAAAACTATTCTTTTAATAATAAAGTAATTAGTGCAATAAAAAAATATCAACGAACAGCAACAGCTTTTCCCATTATTCCTAGGAACACACAAATGTAACGAATGTATATGGTTTAAGTAAATTTGAAAGAATAATTTTAAAACAATCATTTTGTTATTGTAAATGTTATTCCTTGTAAACCAAATAGGACAAAACCCACTATAATACAATATCATAATAGTTTATTGGAACTTGGATGTCTGCATTAGCTAAATTAATTTTGCTTGACCCATCCACACAACAATGAATATCCTGATTTAACTATATAGATTAACAAGAAATGTCTTTATTTTAATTAGAAGTATTGTTTTTGTTGTTTAATTAAGAGGAAAAAACTAAACCTCAAGTATATGATAAGCAATTAAGCCTAAAAAGGAACAGGAAAAACAACTCCCATTTTCTAGTGAAAGTTTTCACAGAGAATTTAAAACTAATATTTATAAATAAATCTCACAAAATTCATGAACCTTGCTTGACATTTTAATATCACTTCTAACTTTTTTCACTATTGAAATAATACACACGAGGAAGAAGAGGAGTAATGTTCTTATTTTCAATCTGCACAGGTCAAATAAGTTGTTACATAGATAACTGACCAATCAGAAATTGACAATAAAAGGAAATACCCTAACTTATTTGTATAAAGTGATGACAATGAAAATAATAGCAAAAGACTACAGGAATTAATTAGTTTTGCATTACCCAATTGTATGGCACAGATAATACAGAGGTGGTTTTCAACCTTTTTTCATTTACAGACCACTCAAATATTCTGAATGAAGGTGTAGATTCCTTTAGAAATTTTAGACATAGTCTGAAGTCTCCCAGAGGTCTGTGGACAACCAGTTGAAAACCACTGTTTTATGGTAATGAGAATCATTACCAGGGGTTCATATAGTAAAAGTAACAAAAACCTTGATCTATATTTGAAACAAAATAAAAATTTTTTTTTTTTAAATCTGAAGGTAAAAAATTAATGTACATTTTGAATTGAAGAAAGAAATCTCCAGGGATCATGCCATAATCAGAATATTCAAATTCAGATTTTTCTCCATAGTGTATTTAATGCAGTTTAACACAACTGATTAGCATAGCTAACTCTTGAAGGCATGGAAGAACAAAATATAACTTTCTATATAAAATCCCTCTGGGTATGTCTACACTACAGCATTATTTCGAAATATCTTATTTCAAAATAGTTATTTCGAAATAACGCGTCTACATGCAAAATTCACTTCGAAATAGAGTTTTGCTATTTCGAAATAGCACGCCCACACTGATTGGACGCTGAATCGCATTTAAGGCCAGTCGTCTAGACTACAAAAGAGGCTTGTAGTCTAGACATACCCTGAGATACTGGCGCATAAATACAAATGTATACTGTTTTACACTAAATAATCTTTGATGTGCATTTTAAAACCTGATGTTCTATTTAAACCAAAATGGGTTATTTAACAGTAGAACTAAATGGACATTTTATTGACCCTGTTCAAGTATGCAGCGTTCACCCTTTCTTGTTCTTTCCAGACCAATGCAGCCTTACTAATTCCTGCTCTTTTCATTCATTTTTCAAAGCCATCTCTCTCTTAAAACAAATTGTTCAGAGTCCATCATTCAGGAAAAAAATATCAAACCAAATAAGATGATTCAATGGAGCTTTGCCAAGTGTTGATCCCCATTTAAGTGGTTTAAGCTGTATGTAACTGGCTCTTCTTAGCATAGAAAAGACAAAACGCTCACTCTCTTAATATTTTGAATACTTCATCAACGTTTTGTATCAAATGAGGACATAACCATTCCACTTATTTTGAAAAAAAAATGCTTTTTTTAAATGCTGCACTTGTCAGAATGAGTTTATACAATTCTTTTTCCTTTCCATCCATGTCCCCTTTGGGACATCCAGGGCTTCAAACACTGCTGATCTTGCCTAACATCTATGCCTACGAGTGTTCCTCAGGACTCGTGCCTCCAGTGCCTAGGTGAACCTCATCAGGCAGAGAAATGCAAGATCTGCAAGACCTTTAAACCATACACCCAAAACCAGCAGGACTTCCTCCTGAAGCAACTCTTTATGGAATCCATTCTTCGGACTCATATCTCCGTACGTATTGCACCCCTTCCACTCTGGTAAGGGTGCAGAAGAAAAACATGTCTGCCTCAGCACTTTCTGAAGGCCTCCACATCTCAGCACCAGACACATTCCCTGGTACAGTCTTCCTTAGTCACACACACACACACACACACACACACACACACACACACAATCCATACCATCAACACCAGACAGACCTAATGGGCTTAAGCCCCAGGGCACAGAGGTGCTGTACTCGTCTCAGGTTCCAAGCTCTATCTTCCTAGAATCCCCAAGAATGGAAGCAGTGGTGGGCAGCACATCTTCTATGTTGGACATGCCTCAGGCCACTTAGGACCACAGTGAAGTGATTCAGTCCCCTGCCAGAGATGGGCTGCTCCCTGTTCATCAACCATCCTGCCAGGAAAAGTTGGCCATGCTGGGTCCATCTGCTCTGGTTCCAGCATCTCTCTGCTGGTCTGACTCACAGCTAGTCCTCTTGGAGCTGTTACCACTCGGGAGAATTTGTGGAGAGCAGATACTGGTCCAGCTTGGAGTTATCAGAGAAATCCACCCATCTTCAGTGCTCTTCGCACCTCACAACACTGCAGACCGCAGCACCGTTTGAGATCTGGCTAAATATAAGCATCGGTGACATACCCAGAGCCCTCGCTCCCCATGACATCACCCTTCTTCACACTGCTCTTCAGAGCACGAAGCTGTGTCTCAGCACTGCTCTGTGGAGAACCACTTAGGCACCAATCCTCACCTCAGTGTTCTTAGCATAGGTACCAATCCCAGCACCATTCACCCTCCAGACAACATTCTCATAGACATTCACTGGCCCTGCACTAATTAACGGCCTTATACTCTCTTGGGCAGCAGGCAGCAGCAAGATGAGTGGCGACTCGGCACCTTACAGACGATAGGCGCTAGCACTCAGAGTTCCTTCTCTCCAAACTGGCTCGGAACTGCCCTGGCCCTCCCGTTTCAGGTCTCCATCAGCCTTGTGGGAAGCATTGGTGGCTTCTGGTTGGTCAACCTATGATTCTAGGTTGTATCAACAGGTGTGTTGTAAGCAAAACTCGTGAAGTCATTCTGCCGCTCTACTCTGCACTAGTTAGGCCTCAGCTGGAGTACTGTGTCCAGTTCTGGGCGCCACATTTCAAGAAAGATGTGGAGAAATTGGAAAGGGTACAGAGAAGAGCGACAAGAATGATTAAAGGTCTAGAGAACATGACCTATGAAGCCAGGCTTCATGAACTGGGCTTGTTTAGTTTGGAAAAAAGAAGATTAAGGGGGGACATGATAGCGGTTTTCAAATATCTAAAAGGGTGTCACAAGGAGGAAGGCGAAAATTTGTTCCTCTTGGTTTCTGAGGACAGGACAAGGAGTAATGGGCTTAAAGTGCAGCAGGGGAGGTTTAGATTGGACATTAGGAAAAAATTCCTAACTGTCAGGGTGGTCAAATATTGGAATAAATTGCCAAGGGAGGTGGTGGAATCTCCCTCTCTGGAGATATTTAAGAACAGGTTAGATAGACATCTGTCAGGGATGGTGTAGACGGAGCTTGATCCTGCCTTGAGGGCGGGGGGCTGGACTCGATGACCTCTCGAGGTCCCTTCCAGTCCTATTATTCTATGATTCTAATGCTAGCAGGCCCTCACCTGCCTAGGGAGTTGGAGCCTCCCAATGGATGCCATAGTGGCAGTTTTGGATGCTGTGGGTACTCCACCAAGCCCAGGACACATTACCAACTGGACCTTCCCAGGCCCTTCCAAGTCTTGAGCCCTGGAGGCTACAGTCAGTCATCCTCTGCTGCAGGATGTGGGACCACCCACCTCACTGCTGCCCAAGAGAATATTCTGGCTGTGGCCCTACCACAGTCTGAGGGCACTCAGGATCCACGTTCCTTAATGGCTGTTTCCTTATCCTCCCCAGGTGAAGTGGTGGCAAGCACATCCATGACGGGCCTTCTTCCAATGGACTACAGGGCACCTCAGGACCTTCTTTGCAGGAGGAAGAGAGATGTCTACCCAAGACAGATGACAGCTGAGGGACCAGGAGCCTAGAATGGATGCCCTTGCTGAACCATGGAGAAAGAATACAGGTGCAGTTGTCCTTAATTATAAATACAGGTTGAACATCTCTGGTCCAGCATAATTTTAGTTAGCCCGATTTCCACTTTTCATGGGTGTGGCCAAGTTTACAGCAATTCTAGAAAGTTTGTTTACAGTTACCTGTTCTGACTCTCACTGTTTTGTACTGTGATCTAGCTCTGATTTACCCCAAAATGTCTTCTAAGAGCCCAGTAAGCAATGGAAGTGTTAGTAAGGCTGATAGACAATATTGACCTCTCATGGTTCGGCAAATTCTCTGGTTCAATACCGGGCAGGATCTAAGGGTGCTGGACTAGAGAGATTCAAACTGTACTAATTTAGGAACTTCCTGTGCAACTCACTCTACAAATGCAACAGAAAAGTTCTACCATCACCTCAAGCCTACTCCATTACAGTTGAGGTTAATAATCCTTTGCTCTTTGATTTTAGAGGTGCTAAAAACAAGCTACTCTATTTAGCAGCCAACTGAAAACTTCCATCTGTAAGAAAATTAAGGTTTGTTGCCCTTGCAGCAAAGACATTTCAATATACATCTAGAATGTTCTCAAAACCTTTCAAATTATCAATACTAGAAAATGTTGATGATCTGAAAGGAAGCTCCTTACCGAAATAGCTGTTATCCTTAGAGAATCTACAGTGGAATGTGTGAAAAGGTACCATAACAGTGGCCCAATTTCTCCTGTAATAAATCCCTCTGCATGAAAAGAATCGGTTGTGCAAACATTTTCAACAATCTTCACTGCCATATGATTCACAACATGTTCTTCCTAGAGGGGAAAAAAAAAGATGTTTTATGATAATGACCATTGTATTTCTGACTTTGCCTGTTATTTAGATGGTTCAGAAAAGTAAACAGGAAATAATGAACACTGCTTCTTAAACTTGTTACACAGATGTCAAGAAAAATATGGAAAATTCTTAGGGAAGAAATCATTTCACATGAAAATTCAACTACCTTAAACAGTTACGTTTATGCCCAACCCCACTAATCCTATTGTCTTGTACTGTAAATAAATCCAAGGTGATAAAAAAATAGGAATATTTAAAACTCAATCTTTCGTTGCCAAGTGATCAGTCTGAATCCAGCATAGGTCAGTAACAAATGAAAGTTGCTACTACAACAAGGAGTCCTGTGGCACTTTAAAGACTGGCAAATTTATCTGCATATAAGGTTTTATGGGCTGGAGTCCATTTTGGCAGATGCATGAAATGAAAACTTCAGTTTGGCAGAAACATACAAAGATGAAGTGTTATATTAGTATGCAGAGGATCAGTGCTATTGAGGCCAATTCAATCAGGATTGAATAGTTGATGAGAAAGTGAGAATGCAAAAAGAAGAAAAATTACTTTTTGTAATGAGCTAGCCACTCTCAGTCCCTATTCAGACCTAGTCTGATAGTGTCAAGTTTGCATATGAATTACAGCTAGCAGTTTCACACTGCAGTCTATTTTGAAGTGTTTTTGCTCAAATATTCCTTTGAAGTAGGAATAAGATCCTCTGGAAAAGGGCGCTTTTTCCGGAGGATTGGGGCCAGTGTAGACGCTCTTTTCCGGCTTTTCTAAAAGCCAGAAAAAAGCGGCGGACATTTTTATTTAAATGCCGCAGGGGATATTTAAATCCCCCGCGGATTTCCCTATTACGACTCGTGAAATTAACATGCCCCTTCCGGAAAAGGGGCCAATGTAGACAAGCCCCTACTGTAAGAGTGCCAAAGTTTATGGATCTTGGACAGCAGACAGAATATCCCTGGTCTCGTGTGTGTCTGTGGGTGGTGGGAGGGGCAACAGCCCATTCATAATATGACCTATGATAACTACTGTACCTCCTTTGTCAGCCTCTTTTATTATTATGTTACAGTTGCTACTGGTTCATGAGCATTCAGCAATCAACTATAGATGAACAGGCGTTCTGTCATAAAATTTACCAATAAGAATGCCAGTGCCAATTATTATGGTGATGCTAACAAAAAGGATTAATGACTTGATGGGCATGGAAATTCAATTATTCTTAACGCTAGAAGTGCTTCCACAATGTCAGGGTTCAGGTATATTGGTGATGCAGTTCATGCAGTTTGCATTGCCATTAACCCCAATCCATTTTTTCTATGGATATATACAGGACACTTTCCAGGGCTTCAATCCACCATCTTTAGTAATTACGAGTTTATTTAAGAATTTATATTAAATTAAAAAATTACTTACTACTCAATAAATTCAAGTAAAGCATGTGCCATAGATCTCATTCTTGGCAGGGAGAATGGCTATTAAACATTTACTGGAATATGGAAAAATCTATACTGCAAGTACCGCATACATATATGTCATATTATAGCAGTCATGAGAAATCAGTACTACACTATAGTTAACTAAGATTTCGTTTCCATTCCACCAAGGTTGTTTTAGTGTTTCTTTCAGCTGCTTTATAACTTTCTCAAATTTCTCCACTGCCAATTTTAATCTCTTCCAAAAGATTAATCTTTGGCAAATTTTAGTGAAATTAGTTCAGCCATTTGAGTTATGACAGTGACATTTTTCATGTGTTCTTAATTTCTGCACCTATATAACTATGAATGTCGGAATCTAGAAATTTCAAATTTAGCTTCCTTTAAAGTTTTTCACTGACAAAAGAAAAAGAGTTATATATATTGTTTTAATCTATATTACTCTTAATCTGACAAGTATGTTCAGCAATCAGTTTACCAAGAGCCCCCATGAGCTATCCATCACCAAAACAGATACCATACAATGCATATTTTCTTTCACAACTGCTAAATGACTACTACACCTATGTCCCCTTTTTGATTTCACTGAGTCAGGTTGATTATGTGAAGAAATAAGTTAAATAGGATTGGTTTCAGGACAGATCCTTGGGCCACCCCACTAGTTACCTCTCTCCACTCTGAAATCTTTCTGAAAACTTACCATTTATTCCTACCCTTTGTTTCCTGTCTTTTAATCAGTTATCAATCCTTGAAAGGACCTTTCCTCTTAGCCCATGACTAGTTTTTGTGTCACGAGTATATTCTGGTTCCTTATTTACTTTCCTTGACAAGAGTCAGTATTTTATAGACTTATATCATATCCCTCCTTAGTCATCTGCTTTCAAAGCGGAAAAGTCTTGGCCTTATTAATCTCTCCTCATTCTATTTCATACCTCTAATAATTCTGTTGCCATTTTCAGAATCCTTTCCACTTCCCATGTATCTTTTTTGAGATGGGGCAGCCACATCTTCACACACTAGTCAAGATGTGGGCGTACTACAGATCTCTAGAGAAACAATGAGATATTTTCTGTCTTATCTATTCCTTTATAATGATTCCCAAAATTCTGTTCACGTTTTTGCCTGCCACTCCATACTGAATGGATGTTTTACCAGAAATATCTACAATGACCAAGTTCTCTTTCTTGTCTGGTAACAGCTAAGTTAGACCCCATCATTTTATATGTAGGAGTAGGGATTATGTTTTCTAATATGCATTATTTTGCATTTATCCATGTTGAATTTCATGTGCCATTTTGTTGCCTAGTCACCCAGTTTTGTGAGATCCCTTTGTAGCTTTTCTCAGTCTGCTTTGGACTAAACTATTTTGAGTAGTTTTCTATCTGCAAGTTTATCCCTTTTCCATATCATTATTGAATAAGTTGAATAGGACTGGTCTGCATGCAGAGCCCTGGGGACACCACTATTTCTCTCTCTCTCTCTCTCTCTCTCTCCATACTGAAAATGGAGCATTTAGTCTTACTCTTTAGTTTCCTATCCTTTAACCAACACTGATTCATGAGAGGATCTTCTGCTTAAGAGCGTTTTGTGAGGGACCTCATCAAAGGAAAGTACATTATATCTGCTAGGCCCCACACTTTCCACAAGCCTGTTGACCCATTCAAAGAATTTCAGTAGATTGGTAAGGCATATTTCCCTTTACGAGCCATGCTGACTTTTTCCAAATAATTTATGTTCATGTATGTGTCTGACAAATTTGTTTCAATCAGTTTACCCAGCACAGAATTCAGGTTTATTGGCCTGTTATTACTGGGATCACATCTAGAGCCCCCTTTAAATATTGGCTTTACATTAGCTATCCTCCAGTCACTTGGGTACAGAAGCAAATTAAAACGATAGCTCACAAACTACAGTCAGCAGTTCTGCAATTTCACATTTGAATTCCTTCAGAATTCTCTGGTGAATACCATCTGATCCTGGTGATTTATTACTGTTCAGTTCATCAATTTTTCCAAAATCTCCTCTAATGACATCTCAATTTGGGACAGTCCCTCAGATTTCTCACCTAAAAAGAATAGCTCAGGTTTGGGAATTTCCCTCCTCCTCATCATCATGAAGACTGATTCAAAGATTTTATTTAGTTTCTCTGCAATGTCCTTGTGTGCTCTGTTTGCATCTTGATTGTCCATTGCCCCACCAGTTCTTTAGCAGGCCTCCTGTTTCTGATGTACAATAAAACTCCAATTGTCCGGCATCCAGTGGTCCGGCACTCCTGATAGTCCAGCACCAACTGGAACCTGGAAGTGCTCCGGCCAGCCGGACAATTGGAGCTGCTCCACACCGATTCCCCAAGTCTACTGCTGCCGTGGCTGAAACTGACCAATGGCGGACATGGAAAAGAGGCGCGGAGCAGAGCAGCTGGGGTGCTGCTAGGTTAGTTCCGCAGCGCCACCCCTCACTCCCTTGCTCTGCAC